TTTTTTTTTCTTCTGCTAGGAGAATTAACTGAAACAGAACCACGAGCATAGAGATAATACGGAGAAAAAGATAAGGATAAAGGGTAAATCACCAAGTGGCTGAGACCGAGGCAGCCGCTTGCGGCACGCGTTTGCTGTGGATAAAACAGCACCAGCGACCACGATTTAAGGTTTAGAGGAACAGTGTATGGTAAATACATGAAGATATTCACTTTTAGGAACTATCACTTTGCTGTCCACTCTCTAGGCTATCGGACCGCGTGCTGGCTTCGTCCCTCAAGATGTCATTGCATGCACTTTTATAATGAACTGTTGTGATAAGATAGAATTATGAACAATAATTCCGGTGTTTGCTTCCATTAAGCATAAACAAGCGGATGCTCAGCCGAAGAGATATTTCATTACTTCATTTCAAAATCTATGTGCCAAAGGTTATTTTTAACTACATTGATGGTTACATTAAGCATCTCTAGCATCATCGCGAGGGTCCCAACAGTGGCGTCAACTCGTAATGCGCCAGTCGTAAACTGACCCCGCGTCGCATTGACACACTCTCGGTGGCAAATTACACATTTGCATATTGATTGGACTCTACTCTGACAACTTATTGGAGGAGTAATTATTAATGTCTAGGTGCTGTGCACATTATGCTCAAAATTTTTTTGCGGTTTCACTCAATTTCACAGTTTCAAAAGGTTATAGTGATCCCATCGTTACTCAAATAATCTCTTTTTTCTTTGTTTCTCTTCAATCTTTAGACTTCTCTTGCCAATTTCTCTGTTTTTTGACCTCTAGAATATGTCTTTTTGAAAATATGTACAACTTTTCTTTGTCGCTTTTACTACCCTTGCAACAGTTTTTTTTCATATCTCAACTGAACTTTATATCGGTTTGTCATTATTAGAGATCACATTACATTGTTTTTTTTATATCAGAGTATGTCTACGAAACAGAGAAGTGTAATCATTCAAAAATGTACTTATGTACATGCTGATTTGAATAACAATCAAGTATAGCCAATGTGTAAATCACTTCCATAGCTGAATTTGAGGCTAACAAGTAATACCGAGTTTTATCGGATCTTGTCATCAAAGTTTTATCTCGCTTGACAACGAATACTGAAAAATCCTTAAATATCGTTTGGTACTATATTTATTGTTCCTTTCAAGTCATTTCATTTGAAATCATTAAAATTCAAGATCTTGAGTATTGAACAACCAGGGCCAAGTATCTCTTATATCAAGTTAATATTTGTAAACTCGGTTTTATCCCGCAGCATCTTTATTGCTTAGTTTCACAATTTTATTTACAAGCAATGTTTTTAATAATTTCAAGCTAGAGATCACCGTCTCTATAGCTCTCTATAGAACATGAACGTTCACAGAAAGCAAGCGGCGGAGATGTTGCTGGAATTTTATTAATTCTTTTCAAAAGTCGTAACTTGTGTGCTTGAATGCATAAATCGTGAATTCAATAAAACTAGGTGATTTCACATGAGGTTGCACAAATAATCTTTCATGGGATATAACTTCTTTTTACTTCATATGAAAGGAACGAATTTCAGAAACAAACCCGCACCTATAGTCGCACTAAGCGCGTTATCGCAAGTTATGATATGAAAGTTAATGGATGCTCTAACGTCTCCTTCAGTTACTGCTAACATACAAGAGATGATTTTCTTAAGATTCCCAGCGGCTAATTTTTGAAAGTCTCATCTTGGCATGTCGTCTATAGCAGTCGTCAATGGTCAACCACGTGATCCTACCTCAGCGACATCAAAGGAAAACAATCAAACCCCCGGTCCACCTCCTCCGGTGCCGCCTCCGGCCCAAACTGGTAATTGTTGGCTTTGGCTTACTTATGCTCTATTAAAACGCGGTCTGTAAACAGCCGGACCTATGGTGAGTCAGGCACAATCTTCTCAATCGCAGCTAAGTAATTCTTCAGCGTCACAGTCAAATTCTATACCCCAGAGAGATAGTCGAAGGAGCGAAATCTATAGGTAAGCATAAGTAAAATTTATGCAGTAGAATTGTGTTAGTTTTTTAGCACTTCTTCTTCATTGCCGTAACTTTTTTTGTTTTTGTTTTTCAGTCGCTCCATAGTTTTCGATTGTATCTGTTTTATCCTGCATATGTTTATAGCTGCTTATCACAAGTGATTTTTGATAGATATTCTGGTCCGAAGCCATTGTTTGCGGCTGCATGGGCAAATAAAAACGACAGAAGGTTTCGCCTAGCTGTTGGCAGTATTGTGGAGCGTGAACAAGGGAATAATGTGTGTCGATTTTGGTCAATTTATTTTTTTTTTGACAAACTTCAACCCATCTTCAGCTTTCCCGTTGTTTCTCTTCTTTTTTCTTGCATTAACTCAGGAAATTTGGAGGCTAGCTCTTTGACTTCATATGATTTCCCTGCATTTGCTCACCATCCTTTTCTAAAAACTTTAGCTTGTAAACTGTAGTTTATCGTTGAAACAGATGCTGAATAGTTCGTAAAAGCGCAGATCGCAGTCAAAAGTGTTGCTTATCTCGTGTTTAATCTAGTAGTAAGAATTATGATATTTGCTCTACATCGCGTTCCTTATAATAATCCATCTCACATTTTGCCTCAATATCTAAATCTATAGAAATTGGCGATCGCAAAGCTAATTGGCGCTTGATATATCATAGGAAAACTTTATACAATTTTTTATTTCAAATATTGTACCTATCTTCAAGGCATAGCGAGGATTCTTTCGTTGAGGTTACGTTGATTGAACTGGATGAAAGCCTTGGTTCACTCGTTGAAAAAGGAAGTTTCAGCCACGAGTTTCCCGCAAACCAGATTGGTTTCATACCTGATCTCGTAAGTTACTGCTAGATTTTTGTGAAATTTTCTTTTCATTTTCTCATACAGGAGAATAAGTATCCGGATTTACTGGCTACAAGTGCTGATTTCCTCCGATTGTGGAGAATACATCCTAACAATCTGGTCACAGAAGAGGCTGTTCTAAGTAGCGTACGTCTAAAGTTGCCGCCAAGCTGACATTATTGCACATGTATAATTGCTACATAGAACAAATCGTCACAATTCACTGCACCCCTCACAAATTTTGATTGGAACGAGGTGGATCCGCGACTGATTGGGACGTCGAGCATAGACACTACTTGCACTATATATGATGTGGAGGTAATTTTTGCAGATCAGCTGTTTTTATGCTTATCTTCTAGTTTAGGCTCAACAGGCTGTCGGGCTTATTCGGCCAATCACATTCAGTGTCAAAACACAACTTATTGCTCATGACAAACCTGTTCACGACATTGCTTTTAGTCGCATTTTTAATGGAAAGGATAACTTCGCTACTGTAGGTGAGCGTTCAGCATAAGCATTTCATTGTCTTTTTCTATGCAGTCGCATCATCGTCTTTACCCGCAGTAACTCTTATGCATTACTTTCATCTACGTTTTTAAAATTGCTCGCTTATCTTGAATTTTGTAAGATTTCTGAATGCTAAATTTTATAAAACTGAATTTCTATACTTGCTTGGCACAACTTTCTTTCACTTTTTCTCCAACGTGCTAAGCAACGCACAGAAAGGTTTTAACCATGGTGCAAGTACATCCTTACAATGGATTGATCTATAAAAAAGAGGTTGATGTAAGCTTTTTTCATGAGGTTGCTGATAGAGTTCAGTGTCGAATGAAACAGGTTAAACTGTGTGTGTATTTTGAGAGTGAAATGACCGAGTTGACTTTTCCGCTCAGGTGCCGATGGAAGCGCACGCATGTTCGACCTGCGACATTTGGAACATTCTACAATAGTGTACGAGGATCCATTAAAACTGCCACTCATGCGAGTTGCTTGGAATAAACAAGAACACTACCATCTTGCCACATTCGCTCAAGATTCTACTGAGGTACAAAGCTTCCTAATCAATAAATTGTCTATTTTTACCGTTTTAGGTCATAATTATTGACATCCGTATGCCGTGCAGTCCTCTTGCACGGCTCAAAAATCATAATGGTGCCGTAAATGGATTAGCTTGGGCCCCTCACAGCGCGCATCACATTTGTACAGCAAGTTCGTTTCGTATCCTTCCTTTCTCAGATTTGTCAAAGATTAATGTAAGATAGAATTTTTTTTCTAGATTCAAATCTTTTTAGCGTTAACGAATTGATACGTTAATTAAATCGATCACTGTTAACTGCCCTCATAGCGCTGTAATTTTTGCTCATTCCGTTTACTTTTTTTATATCGCCCAACACAGATGCTTAACACAGTTGGGGTCGTATTTGTGCAAGCCCGTTTTTATGGATTTATTTTTGAAATTGCCTTCATAATTATCAGGGTTTAGTTCTTACGATTTATATTCAGGTGATGATGCTCAAGCTCTAATATGGGACTTGCAAAACATGCCACGTCCCGTGGAAGATCCTATATTGGCTTATTCAGCCGGAGGAGAGGTTGGTGCTGTGTAGAATTTGCTCTTGCCTATGCTAAATTCTTCCGATCTTCTGAGCACAACTTGTGAAAGTCAAAAGAAGTAAAACCTTAGATTAGAAAGTAAAAATCCTCAGATTAGATTTGTTCCTGTCCAGTTCCCATACATTGAGCACATAGTTCTCCTTCAATTCTTCTATAATAATGGCATCATATTCAGGTCAATCAAGTTCATTGGGGACCAGCACACAATAATTGGATTTGCATATGTTTCAACAAATCTCTCGAGATTCTGAGAGTTTAAGTTTGTAATTTCCCGTTCTTCACGGGTTGGAGATTCGTCTTATTTTTTCGATCTCGACAGTTTTTTCAGAGAATTTTTCCTATGCTG